TTTACAATGAAGGTGGCACAGGTTGCCCAGAGAGGTGGTAGATGCCCCATCCCTGGAAGCATTCAAGGTCAGGTTGGATGGGGCTTTGAGCAACCTGATCTAGTTGAAGATGTCCCTGCTCACTGCAGAGGAGTTGGACTAGATGACCTTCAACTGTCCCTGCCAACCCAAACCATTCAATGATTCTATGATTTAATGTGTGACTCACCAAAAGTGTTTGAAAGGCATGCTCAGCCTTCACAATAGAGGAGGTTTCCTGATCCTGTATTAGGTGACAGTGACGATTTGGCTCTTCCTTTTATTCTAGCTGCTCCCTCTGAGGAATAGTATTGATCCATATAATTATTTATGAGAAGTTCAGTGCCATCTGAGCTGCACACGCGTTGCTGCCTGGCAATCTGCGGTCAGATCTCTGAGGTGAAGATAATCCTAAATGCTCTAAACATTGAGGTCAAGTAATTTTCATTACATGCTTTGTTTATGTTGTCACGATGTGAATTTAACAGCAGTTAACACTGATAAAAGTTCAGCTGAGGAAGTGGACTCAATCCCCTAGACTAACTGAGCTGTTCTCTGCACTCACAGTAATCATGGGGCCTAGAGGGACTCTGAGCCATCTTCACTGACCCCGACAGACCTCGTCCTCGGCAAGAGTCCCAGAAGGCTGTTCACAAAGGCTGCTTTGGCAGTCAGCTGCCTTCACTAAGTACTCCTTTTGGCAGGGTTTGAGTATTCACGCTGGGAGCCTGGATAAGGGACAGTAGCTACTACAGTGGCTGTATCACCATCATGACACAGGAATAAATAAACAGTGCAAAATAATATTCATACAACAGCGTCCAAAAGGCCATCACTTCTGTTAGCCTGAGGTTAGCTGAAGCCTTCAAAGTTTTTAACCACTCCATTTCTGGGAAAGAGAGAGATACTGATGATGGGAATAAAGTTTCTAGCAGTGGAGAAAGCTTGCAAGTGTGAACCCTAAAGCCTTTAAAACACAGGAAATAGGAGAACAGACAAAAGTTGTGGGGTTCAGTTGATTTTAGCAAGTCACAGTCTAGGGGCTTGATTCTTGGGTATTGAACATCTGGGGTTAGCTTTGTTGAGACTGGAGTTTCATTTCTGTGCTAGTCTTCACACTGACACTTTTTTTTTTTTTGCATACTTTCTGGTTTTTTGCCTTTTGAATGTCAGGAGTAGGTTTAACACAACCATCTCTGACTCTGAGAAAAAGATTTAAAAGGAAAAACTCATTTAAGTTGGAGTCTCTCAGCCAAAACCCGGCAATGAGTAAGCAACAGGAACTCTGAGGAATCTGGAATAAAACACAAAATCTTTCCACTGCCAAAATTTGTGCCTTTAGAAACTAAATATAGAATTTAAAAAGATCTTGAATGGAATTAGGTCTAAGGCTGGTTTTATTTATTTTTAAGAAAACAGAGTATTTTAACTAAAATGCCAGTTTTGCACAATTGAATCCCAAATTAGAAATGGCCATGAACAGCATCATGAGATACTCTGCTGTAAAGACAGAGAAAATTCAGAATGTAGTCTTTGTGTGGAAAGCATAAAGGCAGAATTTTCTAATGTATTATTTAACGCTTGTTATGTAGTGCATTAAGCAGTCACTGAGAGGAAGGCTTTTAAAAACCAACAGCCTCTCTGATAGCATTAAATCTTACCTTAGTTTTTTTTGTTAAGTCAATATCCAGAAAATAAACAAATTAATATATTTCAGTCTGCCCGATTTATAGAGGCCAATCAAGTTACAATGCTGGACATGGCCAACTGAAAGAGGGGAATAGATTTACCTGAGTGAGGTCTTAATTTAATCAGCTGGCCCCAGAGAACTGAAGTCAGCAGGCTGGGATGATAAAAGAGGCAGCAGAGAAATACTGCCCTTACCGCAGTCGAGAAGGAGAATGACAGTGATGGAAAGGAGTCTAGGCAGTATCAGAACACACCTATTTCCATGATTTATTCTTAATTTAATGACAGTCTGAAGGTTGTCCACTTTTCTTTAAGTGTCCTCAGAATACTGATATTTTCTAAACATTTAGAGCATGATATTTCTCTCCCTCCTTTATGTTAGCTCCATTGCAAGCAGGAATTGAAGAGGAGCTTTGTCTGTATTTTGCCATAATGAATTTTCAGTGCAGACTACCCTTTTGCCACTGTATGCCTTGCCAACCAGTGTCCCTTCTCTAGAATCACCCTTGACTCGGGTCTAAGAATCACAGGTTCTTCAGGGATTCATGTTGATATTTTGATTAAAATGAAGGAATTGATTGCATTTCTTTTACAGCTTATACTGGCAAAAGAACAATGTATGCTTTCCCAGTGCAATAGCTCATTTTTATTATCACGTTTATTGATGGTTCTTAAGAACTACTGACATGCAGACAATGATCTCAGATTGCATTTATATTTCTGGAATACTTTCCGTCTTTCCAGCTTCTGCCAGGAACCTGCTTCTGTGATTCAGAGTTTTTATTTTAAGATTAGTCTGTTATTTAATCTGCATTACAAACCTGTGCCTTTTGCTTTCTTGTCTGTGTGGAGTGCATTCATTAGTGTCACAAATTCTTTAATCTTGGTCCCTGAACAGTTGTTATTTATAATTTTTTTTCAGGTAGGAATTTGTTTTTTGCCAGGGTTTGCCATTGGGAATGCTTTTGCAGATTGACTCTGTAAAATCATCATCCCATCATCAGATTAAATAGTGTTGTGGATTTTTTTTCCCTCCCACAATGCCAATAAGAGGGTTCAAAGGCAATACGATCTCAGTAACACTTGAAAATAGCTTGGGAATATCATAACTGAAGAACCTTATAATTAATTTCCGTGTTTTAAAAATCCCTATTTTTGCAGCAAAGGACTACTACTAATTTCTTATTAATCTAGTCATTTACATAAAATATGCCCCAAAGTACCCCAAAATGCATCTAGATGGGGGGAAAAAAAAAATCCCCAGTGATACTGTCTGTACTTTAAAAAGAAAAATGAAAGAGGCATTTGAGGCACCTCTGTATTCAAAACCCGCCTGGACAAGTTCCTGTGTGATGTACTCTAAGTGACCCTGCTCTGGCGGGGGGGTTGGACTAGATGATCTTTTGAGGTCCCTTCCAACCCCTAGGATTCTGTGATTCTGTGATTTCCTTGTGTCAGCAATCTTTCTTGCCAGGTTCTCTGGACATGTGAAGAGTTGCATGTCACTGTAAAGTTAAAGCTGGGAAGCTGGCTGTTACCTTAAGTCAATGTTTTCTCCACTATCCTCCTGCAGCAGCTTGGCAACTTGATGGTTGTTTCACTGGGGCATGTTAGAAAAACACTCAATTCTAACATTATGTTTTAAAGCATGAGCCAGTTCGCATCCCGGGTGAAACTGAAAGTGCTTTTTGTGACAGAAAACCAGGTTCTCAGACCAGTCACTACACTGCAGAATTACTCTTATTATTCTGTAATTCTATAATTATTCTACAACCTGTTATTCTGTCCAGACTGTGGCTACAAGTAGAGCAGGGCAGTCAGAGAAGACTTATTTTGAGAGAGTGTAGGGATGCAACAAGGAAAGCCAAGACCTCCTTAGAATTAAACCTGGCAAGGGAGGTCAAGGACAGCAAGAAAGGCTTCTTTAAGTACATTGGAGGCAAAAGACTAGAGGAAATGTGGGCCCATTGCTGAATGAAGTGGATGCCCTGGTGATGGAGATACAGAGAAGGAAGAGGTACTGAATGCCTTCTTGCCTCGGTCTGTACTGCTAAGGCCAGCCCTCAGGAGTCCCAGACCTTGGAGACCACAGAGGAGGTCAGGTGAAAGGAAGACTTTGCCTTAGTTGAAGCAGATTGGGTTAGAGACCAAATAAGTAAACTGCACATGCACAAATTCGTGGGCCCCAATGGGATGCACCCATGAGAGCTGAGGAAGCTGTCAGAATTCATTGCTAGAAGTCATTGCCATCATCTTTGACAAGTCCTGGAGAACAGGAGAGGTGCCTGAGGACTGGAGGAAAGCCAATGTCACTCCAGACTTCAAAAAGAACAAAATAGAGGACCCAGGTAACTATGGACCAGTCAGCCTCACCTCCATCCCATGAAAGGTGATAGAACAGCTTGTACTTGGTGCCATCCCAAAGCATATTGAGAAAAAGAGGGTCATCAGGAGTAGTCAATACGGATTCACCAAGGGGAGGTCATGCTTGACCAATCTGACAGCCTTCCATGATGGCGTAACTGGATGGATAGATGAGGGGACAGTGGTGGATGTTACCTACCTTGACTTCAGCAAGGCTTTCAACACCGTCTCCCGCAGCATCCTCACAGCCAAGCTCAGGAAGTGTGGATTGGATGATAGGGCAGTAAGGTGGATTGGGAATTGGCTCAAGGACAGAGCTGAGAGAGTTGTGGTAAGTGGAGCAGAGTCTAGTTGGAGACCTGTGTCTAGTGGGGTCCCACTAGGGGTCGGTACTGGGTCCAGCCCTGTAATCAACTCGAGTATCTAAAGAGGAATGTAAGGAGGATGGGTCTAGTCTCTTTTCAGCATTGTCCAGTGATAGAACAAGGGGCAACAGGCACAAGCTGGAGCACAGCAGGTTCAAAAAACATAAGGATAAATTTATTTACTGTGAGAGTAAAAGAGCAGCGGGACAGGTTGACCAGAGAGGTTGTGAACTCTCCTTCTCTGGAAACATTAAAAACCCATCTGAACATGTTCCCATGGGATCTACTGTAGGTGATCCTGCTCTGGCAGGGGGTTGGACTAGATGATCTACAGAGTCTCCTTCCAACCCTGACAACTTTATGACTTGTTGAGCAAACGGTGGGTGCTAAGGACCCAGTGGCCATACTGGGCCCGACTAAAACATTACTACAGGTGCCCCCCTTCTCTCTCCATACATAGATCAGTTATTCTGACTAGTGTACAACATGTTCCTGTAACAGACAGAATTTAAAGCCAATATTTAAAAGATCTGTGATTAATCTTGTTTACTTTCCTGTTTTCAGATATATTCAAGGACAAGAAAACTCATCCAGAAAACAGAAATGAACCAAAACCAACTGTGAAAAAGATTGACACTGCAACCACCACAAGCACTGTCAAGTCATCCTCTAAACACAGTGTAACTGGAAATGGGAGGAATCCTGCCCCAAGTTCCTGGCTTCTCATTGCAACAGCACTGGCGGTTCTGTGGCATTGGCCACTGTAGCTGCCTTGCCTTGCAGCCACTGTGCCAGCATTGCTGTCATTTGTACCTACAGCCTTACCCACCCCAAAACAAATGTACTTGGCTCTCTAGTTTATGTGATATGTTAAAATAAATATTAAACAATATGCCAGAGTTAGCAGATACCAAGTGTCATCACTTGCAGTATCCGAAGATAGACTTTGACAAAGCCCACCCAAGATAAAGAGGGAATGATGACAAGGTTCTGAATAGCTTAAGTTATGGGGTAGAAGTAATTGAAAACACAGAAATTGTATTTGTGTGTGCTATTGTTTTTCTTTATTTCATTCACTGGAATCCGACTGGCTGGTTTTGTTTGTTTAATTTTTCTGATAAATTATATGAATGGCCAGTCTGCAAATGCAAGCCAATACATACTTTATTTTTCTAGTGAACAGCTAACCATGTCTACAGTTGTAAACCATGTTAAAGTGAAGTACTCTCTACCAGCTTGATGAAATTCCTAAGTGGTCAAGAAGATCAAAGCATGTTTGAAACTTCTTTTCACTCTTGCTGTTTTTAGATTGTAGGAAGCAACATAAAAGCATATGGTGTGTCTAATATATCAGTATAGTTGCCTTAACTATGGAAAAAATTAGAAACACTTTGTTTTTCTGAGGGATATAGATAGTGAGTTTCCCTGCCCCACAAAATGCCATTACCAGATGCTTAAGCATATGCTCAAGGCTTATTGGATGAATGTCCAGCAACAGGAAACATAAACATAATAATGTTTTAGCCAGTTGAATGCAGCTCTGTACAGAGAAAAAAAGATAATTCTGTTCAAAGTTACTTTGCGCGTCTGATGTTAAAGAGAAACTGACTTAAATATTCCACAAAGGTCCCAGAGATCTTAATTATAGTGAACTGCCATTAGACACTAACTGGATCTTGTGCATTGTCTGTTTCTGAAATCAACTGTTTCATAAACTGTGTATTATTTAATTACACTTAATGTTAAAATTTTTGTATCATGGTAGATGTAAATGTAATGCAGTCTGAAATTTGGAACATTCTCTGTTATGCATCATCTTGATTGCTACCCTAGAAAATGTCAAAATGTGCTTTATATTTTGATGCTATTTCTTTTTTAATGTGTTTTAACTTTTTGGGTGAAAAAGTGCTATAATAACTTCTAGTGGGTTAAGAGTTAATGAGCATTTTCCAAAACTGTTTACAGTGCCATTGAATACATATATACAAACACAACTGTATGAACACAGTGATTAATATGATAAATATATTATATATTAGAATTGTTATATTTACTACTTTTCATAACTATTACAACAGTTTCATGGTCATTTTCATTATTATGTACAGTTTTATAAGATTTAATGTAAAACACTTACCTTTTTGTAAAACATCTCTTTGATACTTAGGAGTTACACAGCCACTGATATAACTCCAAAGAAAAATCCTGTATCTTACTGAACAACTAAGGCATTTTATCAGCAACTTTGATTATAAAAGACAGCCTGACTCAGAGAAAGCACGGTGTGCCAGTGTTACTACTGGATGTCATTATACAGAAAGTGGCAGTGATACAGAACAAGCATACACTGGTATGTTTTCAGATAGTATTAGTGAATATGTCTAATTAAGCTTGCAGAGGTGGGGCTTGAATTTTTGTTTTAATTTGGGGTTTTAGATTATATTTACAGGCACGAAGATATAATCAGAACCATTGACACACCCAGCTGTAAAGGAGGAGTCTCTAAAGTGGCAATATAAGTTCTCTGAAAGATGAATCGATTTGATTGTTGAAGTGAGGAGATAAAGTGGAAAATATACTACCATGAAGTATTTTATATTTGAATTCTGATTTTTCAAAATTATAGTAATACCACTAAGGAATACTTTTCAATCTTATCAGTGAAAATCAGCTTTCCCAAAAGTATAAAAAGGGATGTTCTCCAGGGCTTGGAAGCAGCACCAGTCTATTGAATCTGAATTAGAAATGGCAAGTCTTGTATCCATTTGCACTGCCCTTTACAAATAGTGCACTTCTACCTGAGGAGATCTGCAAGTTATGTCATTCATACAGTGAAAGGGCACTAATTCATTTCAGTATTAAGGGATCAGTTGTGATGGCTGCTGTTAAGACAGGAAATGTACATCAGGTGCTAATACTTCCACCAGCTCCTCAGGTAATACCAGTCACTGTGGCTTCACTGAAGCAATTCGTATTTGTTGCTTGTGAACCTGACCCCTAATATAGCATTCTCACACTTGTGATACTCAGTCATCATTTAGGCAAACACATCCACGTTTGCACAGTTAAGTCTTTTTCAGAATTCCTATGGATAGAGCCAAGGTCTCAGGGCTAGGCTCTGACACTGCCAGATTTCAGTTTTGCAGCTTGGAATATTCATTTGTTCTCACCTGCAGAGAGGGAACTTGAATATCCAGACTTACGTGGTTTCTTGAGGTCTTAGGTTTTGTGCTTGTTTAGCTTGGAACAGTGATCCTGCTAGCCTAGTATTCAGCTGTAGGAAAGGAAATTGCAGAAGTCCTGCAGTAGGCATGTATGGAAAAGCTCACCCAGGGGATTTTTTCATGTTGCTAAGTATCATTATCTTGCTAAACAAAAATCTCTGAAAAATTGCGTGTTTGAATTTTGGGTTTGGTCAACAAATATTGGTATGGTGTAGCATTCATTTCTCAGGCTAAACAAGATAGCTTTTAAAATTTCTGTAAAAAAGCTAGAACAAGTTCAAACTGGGGTGAGGTACAGTCAAGTAATTTCATTTGATTCAATCAGTATTTGAATAGACAAAAATTTCTACAGAATGAGGGAAGAAACTGCAGAGGACTCCACACCTATTAATACATTTCATGCTAATATATTTTTCCACTGTGAGAGTATAACTGGTCAAACCAGCATGAAATATGTTCATAATGTGCATCAGAAATGGTGCAGCTCTAAAGGGAAGTGCAGGATGTTTTACTGATGGCTTAGGATTTTTTTTTTTCCTCAGGATCAATTGTATTTACATATTTTAAAAAGTATTTTCCATCAAACTACGAATCTGTATAAGCAAAGGCAAAAACAAATGGCTGTGTCAGATAAAAGCAGTATGTCTTTTCAGATGAAAATCTTACTTTGTTATCCAGGACACTGTAATTACAATGTAATTACAAAGGTCTAAATTCAGAATACTTTTGAACTTGTCTATGCAATAATCTCAGTGTAAAATAAGGCACCAGTCTAAGAGCATTGCTGTACCTTTGCCTAACAGTGATGGATTCTGTTTAGCCACTGCTTTTTGAGTGTTTATTGTTTTGCTAAGACTTTTCTTTTAATGCTTTGCTCTGCCAGCATTTGTGAATGCTTGTTGGAAAGTAACTGCTGTTGTGTGTTTGTGAGTAAAATCAATCTAATTTTCTCTTGATAGTAATGCAGGCTTCTTACCAAGTAAGGCAAAATGGCCATGGGTATACAATCCATTCTTAGTGTTTCACTGCTCTTTGGGCTCCCTCTTACACCAGGTTCATGTGTCACTAGTCCCCTTCCTCATGGAGGCATGTAGACAAAAGCAGGTGTGGCTGCAGTGTGCCAGTGCTTGGCAACCTCCAGCTGCCTTTCCTGACCCAGGTGCTCCCAGCTCATTTTCACAGCTTTTACACCTCTCCAAGTAAGCGCATGGAGACTGGCCAGGCGAAGAGCAGCAGAGAATCTGGCCTGCATTTTTAGGCAACTTTACAAAAACCTGCTATGAATTGCACTTTCTTTGTAATGTAGATGTTGTACAGAATCTGGCCTCTCATTTGCAACCTTGCACTTTATTCTGGCTTGTGTATTGCCAGGGTTAAGCCCTGTCTTCCAGTGTCCCAGGTCATTGCATAAGGAGCTGTGATTCTCATCTCTCAGTGATGAACCTTTCAAGGTACAAATATCTGTCTGAGCTTGATAAGGGCAACACAAATAACGATGTCCAGCTGCATTGATTTCTTAGGCTCTGTGCATGGGTATCTGGCTATAAGATTCACATCTCTTTGATCTTTCAGATCAGATCTTTATTTAACGTATCTCTACTTCCACCAAGACTGGAAAGTGTATCAGAATTTTGACCCTCTAATCCAGTATTGGTCTTCTCAATATTGTCCAAATGGACAGACTTCATAATAATGTTAGATGAGCCTTTTTGCCTAATTTACTGAGCCATTCTTTGGTAGTGTTACACATGATTAGGTTTAAGGGAGATCTGTTCATGTCATAGGAGCAGAAACACATTAAAGCAACACAATAAGTAAGGGAGAAATCCAGAAACTCTCTATCTTACTGAACTAGACTCTTCACATTAAACAGATTTTAAGATTTAGCTGAAAATACTTTCAAAATTTCGTATCTAGCATGATGGCAAGGGAATGTCAGCCTTGTATCCAAAGTCCATAGTCTAGACATTTTTTAAGTGAGAGTTAATTGATATACATGCTTTCCCCGTGTCTCTTTTTAGGTCTGTAGAAATAGGAGAGACATTCCCTAAAATGTATCCTGCACATTGAGCATCACAGCATCATTAAGTGCTTAATGTTACAACCAGCCAAAAGCACAGGAGAGTAATTTTCATTTACAGCATTCAATGCTTCTTCTAAGGACACTCGGCATGTGTGTTAATGAAAAGTGAAAGGTGTTGCAGTTAGTGTCATTATTATAGCTGTGGCATGTCAAAAAGAACATGATAATGTTTTCTTCCCATAGCCTCAGAAGTCCAGAATTATTCCTAATACTGAATTCTCTTCTGGTTTCTACTGTCACTCTCTAAAGAAATACATTTGAATTTTATTAAATATTAAGCCACTAAAAAATAAATACTGGTCAAGAGATTGTAATAAATAGATTGTAAACTCAGAATAGTATCCCACATTTAAAACAGAGAATATTCCTAGGTAAGAAATCCCTCCTGGACCAGAACAATTTTTCAAGGCCCTCTCCCTTCTCCAGATTCATCACCATCCCCTTCCACCTCTGTACAGCA